CCACATCTGATGTGGTTTCCATGGATTTAGTAATTCTCATTGGATTACTGTCTAAGATCTGGACCCTCCCTTGAACCCATGGAAACTTCTATGATCCGCAACCTCTGGCAGAAAGGAGTTCTCAAAGTTCCCTCCACCTCACATGAAGAACCACGTCTTTCTGAATATGGTGCCCAGTGCTATTGATTCGTAACTGAATTCCTTGTATTGGAAGAGGTATTGAACAGCCAGTTCTTTCCTACCCTCTACAACATAATAGTGTTTCCATAGGCCTTTGTGATACCTCTCCTCAGCTGTTTTTTCTTCCAGACTAATGAGACCCAGCCTAGTCAGTGCACTCTGGCCTTCACCGGCTCTGGATATTTGTTCACCCACGTTGCCCTCCAAACCTTTCCCTGTTATGCTATTTCTATTCTGAGACGAGATGACCAAGACCGTGCAGTGTGTTCAAGATCTGCACGAATCATGAATTTATACAGTGGCATGGTGATGTCATCTAATAATTCCTAATGTCTGATTTGCTTTATTGACTGTTACTGAGCAATGAGGTGATGTATTTGCAAAGCAGACTCTCACAGCCACAAGACTGCATCGTTTCTGCCCCCCCCCCAATCCCTTATCCGCCTTGAGTAGTAATGACCAGGGTAAAGCTAATAATTCTGATTTAAGAAACTAAAAATGTTGTACCTAGGAGCAAGAGTTTCTGACAGAGACCTCCGTAGGGATGAGTCAGAAAACTCAGGGAACAGTGGCCCACAAAGACAGAACAAGACCTTTACAACAATGTTTGTATCCAGAAAAATGATGGCTAGTGACCTGACACAGTCTGCTAAGCAGCTGGGCCAGTACAACACATAAACAATTTAATCCAGCACCTCTTTTACTGAAAATGAATAACAAAACCTTAATAAATCAACAATTACTTATTGCTGTATTTGGGATAATAAATTCTTTAGTTTATCAGTAGCTTGTGGCTTCCATAGCATGTTCTTTGAACAGTTTGCCTTTCAGTTACATCCCCTTTCTCTCCTGAACAATAAATTAGCATTCATTTTTCTTTTAAAGGAAAAGAGGGGAAAAAGAGGATATATTACAATTTTTTCAAAGCAAAAAGAAAAATGCAACATATTTTTGACATATATCTTAAAATAATATAAGGATAACTTTCTCTGCGTGTTAGATGCCTATGCATAAATAATAAAGGACGTTATGTTATTTACAGTGTTACACAATAAACTAAGAGAGTCTCATTTAACACATAATCCATAAAGACAGTAAATGATGAAAACATCCAAGTATGTACAAGATGTATTTACAGTAGAATAGAGAATTACAAATGATGATAATTGGCCGTGTTCTTTGTCTGCCCTTCTCTGCAGCATTTCATAGGTGCTTTTTTTGTTTCTTACTAGAAGTAAGTCCCAGCTGATGGTAAGTAGCCACACTGCAGGGCCAAGAAGTGTTCAACAGGCTGAAAAGTGTGCCCTTTGTGGGGACACAAGTTTGCTCTCCTGGATGCTGAGGAAACTGCTTGCAATATGTGTGAGAGAAGCAGGGCGATGCAGCGTTGTTCTTTTGGAGGACTGGAAAGAGAAGGAGCTTTCCTGTTTCCCTGGTAAAGGCAGTGATTGATCTCTTAAACCTGGGGGTGTTGGGGTGGCTTAAGTGAGGAAGGGAATAGCTGGGCCAAGATGAGGGAGTAGGTTTTTCTGTTCTATGAGAACCTCTGTGGAGCTGTAATGATTTACACCAGCTGAACAGGCAGGCTGTACCAGGCTGTGCACAACATATCTCAGCTATACACCCCTGAAGGAAGCTTTTTATCCTGGAATAATTCCTGCATATAAACACATACACAGGGAAAACTCACAGCTCAAGTTAAATGACATGGAAAGAAACCAGGACAATCTAAACAACTCTGCCACCACCGGTATATTTTCCCTCTCTTCAAAGTATGCTTCTCCTTGCCATGACTTTCAGCCAGAAGTTGGCAAGGGTTACACAGTGATGGCTCAAGGGTGTTGGGACTGCCTAGCTCAGAGGTCTAGGTAATGAAGCGAATATCCCCAACAGGGGAGCTGGCCTTTCCCATAGGCACTTGCTGGCTCTGCTCCATACTGCTGCAATCTCCAGCCCTTTGGCCAGCAGGAGCTGGCGTCAGCCTGCCAGCAGAACCTGTGGCCATGCAGAATTGCTAACTTCGGGATGTGGACTTGACTGATGTGGTGCACCCTCACAGCATGCTAAAAGCAAGTCCAGAGGTGAGGACCATGTCCTGCTTCCACTTCTGTGAGTGCCAAGCCAGGGAAACACCCATAACTTCCGTTGCATGAATTGTGCTGTAAGGCTGGGTTCTCCCCAAAGACCTAAGGGCTTAGGCAGCCATATCCCCAATTGTATTTTCTTGTTCTTAGGTCCATGTGAAGTCCCCAGCCTCATTTCATGCTTACCTTATAACACACTACTATATGTACTGGGGGGAAGAGGAGCAGGGACTGCACACCACTTTGGCTTTGAGGCACTGCAACAGAAGAGGTGTGATATTTTCCCCTAGACCTACGCTGAATAAATCTCACATGTACAGCTCCCAAGCATGCAGTTGCTCCTTTGTTTTATACTGGCCCTCTATAATAACAGTGTTAGTAGTCAAATAATTTACTCCACTTCGAGGCAAGTTCCCTTTCCATCTTGATTAATCCATTTGGACTATGACAGACACTTCAATGAGAGCTGGCCTTGTGGATGATCTATACTGGAGGAGAATACAGAAGACCTGTGTTATAATCTCTATTCTGCCCGTAAGATGGGTGATTTTGGGGCAAATCTCTTGTTCCTTTGCCATCCTTTTTCTGTCTTGTCTGTCCTGCAAGACCTTTGCAGTATCAGATACCTTATTGAAAGGACAGATTTTCAAGTGCCTCTAGAAACGCAGCAGTGCAAATATTTTGGAAACTAGTGGTCTGCATCAGGAAAGCCCACCTGGCCGTCTGTACTACTGAGTTGCAGGGTTACTAGGGAGTTGGATGTTCTGCTGCATGGTATTGAAGATAAATAAGCACGACTAAAGGGATGAAAATGAGTGTATAGTATCTAGAATTTGTAGAGAGATTTTGTTTTGGTCTGCAAAGGCAAAGTGTGTTCAAGTACATGCCAGTTAGGGAAAAAACGGCAAAGGGGACTTAAGTCCAGACATAACATATTGGACAAACTTTGCCATCTCCCACAGACTTCTCAAATAAGCAGTGCTATTTCAGCCACCGCGTAGCCCAAAGCTGTGCTAGTTTCCTAGCCTTTTGCTTCTACCACCAACATCCTAGCGTACAACTTTGTCATCAACTTCTTCCTATACTAAGGTTCTTTTTCTGCTGAATCTGGTGGTCAGATAGATTCACCCATGTTCTTACTAATGTGATGTGGTTGATTTATACAGTGAGCAACTCACTGATTTTCATCACCCTAATAAACAGTGTCATTTACTAGGCTTTGTAAATAGACTATGTTTCAAATCAATAGGACACCTTGTTCAGCAAAAACTCTTAAGCGTATGCTTAACTTTATGCATGCACTGGATGCGTCAATGAGTGTCTAGCACATGCTGAAGATAACTTTTGCTGGGATAAGCATAAGCATATGCTTGAACAATTTACTGAGGAACTTTAGTTCTTCGGGTTTACATCTCACAAAATTTCCTTGACTTATTTCTCTTCATTTAACTGGGACCAGAATGTGGCCCAAAGGATGAGTGTAGTTTGGCTGAAATTCTTTTTCTCTTGACATGGCTCTTATTTAGAGTTCAGTAATACCTGTAGAACATATGTTCTCATTTTCAGAATCCCCAGAGTCTAGGGAAAACATTTGTTTTCCACATCAATCCTGAGTCTATGCTGTGCCAACTGAACACACAACAAAAATCGAAAAAAGAGGCAGAGTGACCCTGACTAAACTGGTAGGAATTCAGTGCAAAAGAGGCCATTTGCTTCTGTCTGAATGGATGCAACTGCTCCAGCACTGACAGCATCCTTGTTGATTACTAGTCAAAGACTTCAACACCATCGCTGGCTATATAAACACTGATCTAAATAGCCACGCACGCTACGGCTGTAACCCACACGGTGTGCTTGCCATTATAAATGGGCTTTGCATCAGCCTTGCCTCTCTCAACCCAAATAGTGGAGTCAATAAAGGTGAGTAGAAATGAACTCCAAGTTTTTGCTATGTCCTTACTACTTGCCTATGCTTTTTAACCAGTCAGCAAATCAGTTCTTCCCTGGAATTAAATTCTGTGTCCAAGAGTAACCCTTACTCCAACAGCAACTCTAACAAGGTATTGCTAGAAGCTTGTCAGGGTTCTTTCTGAGGAGAAGAAAGGGGAGAAAATTGAGAGGAAACAAAAGGATAAATCATCTGTTAGAAATCAACAATGAAAAATAGAGGTGAAAACTGATTGCACTTTTATTAGTGGCATTTGTTTTCCAGCTAGATCTCTTCCTTGCTTGGTTACAGATATCTGCTATTATATTTGCCCCATTAACTTAAACTAATATAAATATTTTTTTCTTTTTTCTTTTTTTTTGCTTTTTTTTTTTTCCTTTTTTTCTTAATAGAGTATTGGGTTCAAAGCCTCAGCTAACCTAAACCCTTTTTCCAAGGGATAGCTAGAACAATTAATATCCGGAAAGTAATGAAATGGCAGCTCCTAGTGATTACAAGCTGACCTCTGATTAATAATATATTTGGTTTAAAATCACAGTATTACTTTCTTTCTATAAGTAACATTATTTAATGCAGGTTGGCTTTTTTTGTTTGTTTGTTTTTTTGTGTTTTTTTTTTTGTTGTTATCCTGCTGTAATTAATAGTAGCATGCTGTTGGATCTACTATTATCTCAGTGCTCAAAGAAGCAAACCTTTTGGCTGGCAGAGAGCAGACAAAACTCATTTCATATACGGAAAGCAAATAAAAATTGCTATAGAAGAAAATATTTTTTGTTATTTTTTTCAGCTTTTTTTTTCCCTTTTTTTTTTCTCTGTGTTTGTGTGTTTCTGGTGAGGTGGGTAGGGTGGGAGTGCCATTACAGGGCTTCTTGATCTGGGGATTCTACAACAAGCGACCAGAGGGACTTCTGCAATTCTTGCAAATCATACATCCAGTCATTATAATGCAGTGCACAAAAAAGCCAGGACAATTGAGGGCTAGAAGGTTTTGCAAAATACTATGGGACAGCAATCATTGTAACTGTACAAAACTTGCTCTCAACGTAACATAACATAAAGGCACCATTGATATCTTTCCCCATTTTTGAAATACTGTAAAAAATTGCTACATATGGCACATAACACATTTGTACATACGTATATTTAATTTATAAAAGTTTCTTTTCCTCTCCTGTTTTCTATCAGCGGAATTGCTAAAATAAAATAAATTGTTTAATTTAAAGGTGGAATACTTCATTATATAAAATAAAGTTTTACATGTGATTCTATGTGTTTTATACAGCAATAGGGTCTTGGTTAGCTATCACACTGGACAACCTTGCTTGCAACTCATCTGGTGCGGAGAAGCGATTTACCGGGTTAGTCCTGTTTTCAGCCAGCCGGTAAGCAGCGGCTGGCTCCAGACTGGTTGCCATGGGGTTCGCTATGCTCAGGAATGGTGTATCCTCACCTATTCTTTCATCTTCGGTTTCGGTCTCAGAGCTGCTGCTCTCAGAGCTCATGTCAGAGTCCACTTCCATCCTGCTGGAAATGTGGCCATTGGGCTTTGTTCTTTTGACCCTCCGGCTGTTGGTGAGTTTCTTTGGAGGCTCCTGTGCTGGTTCGTACTCCTGTGTGGTCTCATACTCTTCATCCTCCACTATCCGCAGAGGACTTGGTGGCAGGCTGTTGCTCTCGTGGGCAGCATTGTGGTGGAAGGAGTTGAACTGCTGAAGGTGGTGGTCATACTTCTCACGTAGCCGTGGTGGGGTCACCAGGAGCAGCGGTCGCTCCTCTTCTATGAAGGGACTTACCGCCACCGAAGGGATGGAGATGGTCAAGCTGGAAGCTGGTGGCGACATTTTGGAAGGGGGGGACTTGGGAGAAGTTGGAGTGTGAAAATCAACGGGTGACATGCGAGCTGGTGTCGTCATAGCTGAGACATACCTGAAGAAAAGAGATGGGGAGAAGTTGCAAGCACAGGAGCAGTGCTGACCTGTGAACACAGCTGGTCTCATGGGCTGGGAGGGAAAAGGCAGTGATCACTTAAGATCCACAGCATCCTCACACGGGGCTACCAGGAAAACTTTCCTGTTGCTATTAATCCTATAAAACTGCTGACTTCTGGGACTCCGGACAAAAATATTTGAGAGCAGAAGGAGCACAGCAAAGCCCCCAGGTTCTGTTTGACTCAGAAGAGTCATGGAAATGCTGTAAATTATTTGCCAGAATAACTTCCTGGAGCGAATCCAGGAATGGGATTCAGAGACCAGGGGGCTGCCAGAAACAAAATGCATTTGTAAGTATTTTCTCAAAAGGAAAATGGGTGCTGCATTTCTGGCAGGAGTTTACCAGAACCTGGGGTGCACACAAACAGACAGGAAGAGAGAAAGGAAAGTAAGTGAGGGACAGTCCTCTTGGGGCTTCACCCTCTTCTGGTAATCAGACTGTCTTAGGCTAAGGAGGAAAGCAAAGTTTGGACAAAATCTAGAGCCACGTTCTGCTAACTTTAATCATGGGAAGTAGTCAGAGGAGGATTTGCAGCACCATTCCAGCAGCTTTGTGCTGCTCCACTCCTTGGGTGCTAGTTACCTTGGCTGGTAGGTCTATCTGCAAAGAAACAGGGAGTGTTCTTTGTCTTTGTGTGGGAACAAATGCTGACAGAGAGGACTGTCTGGCTTAGTGTTCATGATTGCTCTGCAAAATTTGCCTCTATTCCTTCATAAATTTCTGTGGGAAGGGTAATGGGCAAAGGTGATTTCTGAAAATGAAGCTCAGGTGCCCGTACAAAGCTTGGCCCAGAGGAAGAGGACAAAAAATGTGAGACTCTCAGCTGGTTTGACTCAGTGGAGCTCCATGAGATGCTATGAGGTCATGTGGATTCACACCAGGTGATGATCTTCTGCCTGAAACCTCTTGATCAAAGGCACAATGCCCAGCAGGACATTTTTGCACAGTTTGGCCTTTGCTTTTGTTCTTATCCTAAGTTCACCTGCCTGAATTTCATCTGTGTCCGAATTTGAAATCTTTCTAATCTCCATCTCTTACACAGGCCCATTGAGACAAATTATATGGCTATGACTGATGAGGTTATTTAATTTTTCATTAGTGATTTATTTATCCGAGTCTGATATTACTAAAATAAATCTGAATCCAACTTTCTTATCCAATCCATGACTCAGTTACACATATTTCACTTGATTAAAACAGAGTTATTGGATAAAAGAGAAATGGGGACAGATCCTGAACTGATGTGTAGTAGAGTAAATTGGTTTCAGTAGAGGCACATTGATTTACATCAACTGAGGAACAGGAGAAAGAAAAAAAAAAAACACTGGAGTTATATATGGGAATTAATCAAGTTGGTTGCTAGTGAGAGCAGAGGGTAATTAACAGGTTTGTGCGTTGGATGAATGAAGTTTTTCTTTATTTTTCCTTTCATCCCTTTCACATTTTAAAATAGTCATTGTCTGAAAAACTGTAGCCTTTCTACTTCCCCAGCTGTCACAGTGTGGGACGTACACCTTCTTGACACGCTGGATATTAGCTAAACTGGTTCAGTTAACGTACTAAGTTAGTTAAATGTGTTCAGCGTACTGTTCATGCTTCCATCAGTGTCAAGTAACTCATACTGGGCTGTCATACATTCACACATTTCTGGTGTATTCCCCCACACCATAACAGGGCAGTGCTAACAAGATGCTGTCCATGAGCTGAGGCACAGGAGCTGAACACATGCAGCTCTAGCCCATCCCAAAAAGAAGGTTAGAAGGCAATAGATTTATCCAGCTTCATGGCCAACAAGAGGTAAACCATGCTGGCTAAGTGAAAGAGGATCAGGATGCATCCATGTCCAACCAACAAGCGTTAACTAGTTACACGCTGCCAACTTCATTATACAGTCCAGACTTTCATGCAGAGATGGCGTTTTTTGATATTCTCTCCTGTAAGACGGCTAAGGACTTTCTAAAATATAGGTGCTTGGGTCCTCTGCTTATGTGGACAGGTGTCAGGGCATGGGATCCAAGAAAAGAACGGGGTAATGCAAAAGAAACCCTCATAATGTCTATTCTATTTAATTTCAAAATTGTGAAGTAGCTGGGGACTGGAAGGTGGAGGGAGCACAGCCTTGATCTACCAGTTCACAGCACAGCAACAGCAACAGCCCAGCCCAGCAACAGCACAGCCCAGCAACAGCACAGCACAGACTGATGGCTTCAGGAAGTAATTTGTCAGCTCATACATTCCTTTATGTTTGAGAGTAATTTTTACTTGCAAATAACTCTCATTTTCTCCCTTATATACACACACATACAGGCAATCCATCTCAGAAATAATCTGCCATGTATTTCCTGCTTGCTGAAAATAGATGAGGTCTAATTTAATGCCCAGGGAACTATCTTCTGCATTCCAAATTCACAGTCATTTCAGGCATAGGCTAGGCCATCAATGCCTGGTGAATTATCACAGAAACATTGATGCTTTTCACCTCTAGCATAATCTTCAAGAAACACAGTAATTGATGAAATGCCTTCTTTCTTCTCATCGAAACGGAAAGGCATATGCTGCTTTCCCTCTCCCCAAAATCTAAACAGCTCATATCAGAATGATGATCTGCCTGTCCCAGGCAATGTGGGAGGACAGTGCAAATGACCTTTGCTTCTCACACACAGGTGCCCAAATATTCTTAGCTCTAATACTCACCGTCGGTGGGCATGTGGCCGTGCGTCCTGTACGGTTCCCAGGCAGGAGACAATGCAGTATTTACTGCTACAGGTCTTGATGCAGCAAAGCACTTCAGCACGTGCTAAGCTCTCACTGATTTCAACAGGGTTACTTGAATGACTAAAAGTTGATCATGTTGAAGTGCTCTGCTGGATTTGGGCTATGCCTGTTTGTGTCATGTGAGCCATGTCTTAAAATTAAATTCCATGGTAAATAACAGGTAACTTTGTTATAAGGAGAGAGCCAGTTCACTATCCTTAGTGGTCATACAGGCCTTATTCAGAGAGCCCTCAGCCATGGTGCCTTATCCTGCTGCTAAGCAGTTGTTCTTTGTGTAGCAGAGGGAGTACCACAGAAATAGCTTTTGCTGTACTTGCACATTCATTTTTCTGGAAACCACAATTTGTTACCTACATGACTTGGTCTCCTTGGGGATTGCCTGGCTTCGTTTTTGATCATGGACATGCCATGACATCAAATCCCTTGTGATTTCATAATGCTCAGAGAATTGGTCCAGTAATCCATTGTTTTCCTTTTCTTCTGCCTCTGATTGTTGGGAGCAAAGCTATCTTTAAATGTCTTGTTTCTTCTCAGTCTTTCTTTTGCTACTCTGGGGTCATCTCATGCTCTTGAGATAAAATTCTAGCCTAAAGCTGAGAAGCCTTTTTCAGTAAAAGTTTTCTTGCAACTGATGCATTTCAAGGCAGACCTTAGGTACTCATGAAGCAGCCTTTTGAGAGAAAAAATTACTTTGTTGGAAAACTGGCCAGCTTTATTTCTAACTACTTGTGATTTAATAATGACCTGGGTTCTTCTGGCTTGCACTTTGTGTTCCTTGCTTTTATTTAATAAAATGTCAAGGGAAATTTTTGAAGGAGATAGTGGGTTTAGGAGCTGGAATCCCCCAGAAAGTAGCTGGGGGCAGAATTCCTATACTGCTTAGGAGTCCTTAGTGCCCTCCTCCTATGAATCAATACACTGCTTTCTCCCCAGATTTTGTGTCTCACAGAATCCCTCAGTTTTCTCCCTTGCTTCTCCTAAGAAAATGGTAATTAAGCAAAGATCAGTTTTTACTTTACAATGGAAATTTCTTACAAATGACTTCAGTGGTTTTTATCCAAATGTGAACTGCTGGCTATTAGGAATAAATCCAGCAGAGGCAAAAAGGGAAGAAATGCTTTTGGTAGACTTTAAACTACTACCAAGGTCCCCAACCTTTATGAATGAGATGTATCCCCTACATGAATAGCTGCACTGATGGGTTTCCTCCTGTGCTCCCAAGCTTTGAAACCATCTGGAAACACCAGGCCTTGCCAGCTGAAAGCAATGAAGTGGTGTGTCCTACCTTTCACTATGAGGAGAGTCTCGGTAGGAGTCAGGGGTCTCTCTCGCATGCCGGAGGAAGTTGTTGCCTTCCCGTGGCCCGCCAATGCCATTGAGGCGGCCCCGGGGCCCCGCTGGGCTGGTGTGCCTGCTGTTCTCCATGGAGGAGCTGACGAGCACTGAGTGGCTTTCAGAGAGGATGCTTTCGGTATGCCCATTACTCCAGCTGGAGAGCAGCAATTGGAAAAGAAGAAAGGAGGGGAGCGTGAGAGGGTGGTTCAGTGGAAAATGCAGGTGAGCAGAAGTTTAGCCAGGGGAAGGGAAGGGCTCTGTTGCTGCTCAGGATGTGCAGCGTAACCTTCAGGTTGGTAACTGGGGCTGCAGAGTTTTGTGATTAGTATTAATCCACATGCATCAAGATGATTTTGTATGTGTGGATAAAAGGAGAGGGAAGGAGGGCTTTCCAGTCACCAGGACTGTCACTGATTTAGCAGTTTGCATATACTAAAATTTACTGTAACAATATTGGAATGCCATTCACTCAGTAAAGATCTTTGTAAATTTCTGGAAAGATAATTACTTAGGGGACGTGACACCAAATATTGCTAGTCTTAAAATGAAAACACTATGAAGGGAGCATAGATTTTTCTGGTTTGTTTTTTTACACATCATTTCAGTTTTGCAACAACAACAGATCAGGTATTACGGGTGCTGTTTTCCTTCCCCCTCCAATACCTGTGGCTGGGTGTCTGGGTGACTGTCACAGAGTGATGTGTTGTTGAGGTGTAGTGGCTCGTAGAAAATGAGGTCTCTGTTTCTCGCTCGATGACATGCTCGCTGGTGATTACATTTTTTGAAACGTACTGCTGAAAAAAACCAGACAAACCTCAGGTTTACAAACTGTAATTCACAGCGCATTTGCAGACATAATTTCCAATCCTTCCCCCCTTCCCACTAAGTCGCAGTTTTTCACATGTGCCAAAGCACAAACTTTGTCACTTAAATACAGGCAGAAACCACATTGACACACTTGAGCACATCCATGTATGCTTCTGCGTACATACCCCATCTAAACTCAAAGTAGGAGGAAACAAATGAGGAAATTAGCAAAGGACTGCATCCCCTTCAGGCTATAAAAAACATATATATTTTAACAAGGGAATAAGAAGTCCATATAGATAGAGACCCGGAAAGGCAACCCCGCCCTTTACTACCAGATACATCAAAAATACTATCTCTGATGGACAAGATGGCAGTAGTTAGCAGTAGCAATTGTTCTTTGCAGGATAAGAATCTGGGCAGGAAACGGTGCCCATATATTCAGTGCCCATGGATGCAGCACCAGGGCAAACTTATTCATCAGGGGATGATCTGCAGAATGGGCCAAAGCCTCCTGAGATGGGTCAGGAGGTGTGCAGTGCCAAACCTCCTGCACAACTTTCACCTGGAGCACCCCCAGTGCTGTCGTTGGTAGGACTCTCCATTCTCCTGAGTGGGGAATTCTGGTTTTCTCTCTCTTAATAAACTGACTATGGATTTAAGTCTTTTGAGGGGAAATATTGGAAGCTCAGCTCTTCTGAAAAGGTGTCTTAGCCTTAACCAAAGTCAGTGGGAGTGCTGCCATTGACTTAGCAGAGCCAGGGCTCACCCCTGCCACGAGCTGTCATGAATATGTGGAGCAGGAGAGCGGGGATGGCTTGATGAGGTAGGAAGCCAATGTTCCCTTCAGGCAGCAGGCTTCCCTGGTAAAGGGAAGAAAGGAGGAAGCTCCAGGCACTGTGAGCCCTGGTGATTAAGGCCAAAAGGCTTGGTCAAGGGATTAGTTGAAGAGTAACTCTCTGCTCTGCTCTGACAAATGGCTGGGGGATGCTGGTGGAGTATCTGCCCCAGCCTTGTCTCCACAGTCACTGCTACTGTCGAGCATTCATACTTGTCTCCCTGAGTTCATGTCATGTTCCTGATCCAAGGGCCTGTCCCTACTCACCAACCATCAAGCCAAGGGCAGTAGGAAGAGAAAGACATGTGTGCTTGAAGAAATTCATCCCTACAGCACTTAGCCCTGCTGTAGTTATTTAGCCCTGCTAGTATTTTTTTCTGAGGTGTTTTTCTTGCTTTTGCTGTCCCAGATCCACGGGCACAGCTTCAGCACTGAGACACAGTAAACTGGTCATTTACAGAAATGTGTCTTTTTTTACTGCATATATTTTGCGAAGTCCCCAATTGTTTCTGCATGGAGAAAGCCAAGAGAATTCAGTCACCAGCCTGTGTCACGTAGAAGTTTAAAAGCTGCTTTTAAAATGAGTTTTGCTGTGGCACTGGCACCTAGGCTGAAATGCGGGCAGCACCTAGGCTGAAATGCGGGCAGTAAAACCTACGTTCACCAGCTGGACGTTATCCGGTGGCGGGTTGGGGTGGTGTGGCCCGTTGGCCATGTTCATCACATTGTTTCTTTCTGAGCGCAAGCTCTGCCGAAGGCGGTCGTGCAATTTTTTCCTCTGCTTCCTATGCGTGAAACACGGAAACAATTTTAATAGGCAAAGGGAAAGCAGCTGCACCTTTCAGCATGTTGATAAAGATGATAATAATGTAACATCACTTTTTTTGCCAACACTTTCCTCACTGCTGCAAGATCTCAGAGTAACTCTGAAGGCTGCAGGTCTAATTGCAGCTGGAGCTGTGGGGACCTGCAGAGGCGGAATGATGTGTGGGAACCCTTCCAGGACTCAGCAGGCCACACAGGGATGGAAAAAAATGCAAGGAAGAGGGAAGCCATTTCTAAACCTTGGTCCATCTCAGGAGGTGCTATTTTCTGCACTCAGAAGGTAGGGGGAAGAGATTTTAACTGAGCCACCTTGACACCCTCACCGTGGCCATAGCCAGGTTTCTGACAGTGCACCAGGTTATGCTTCTCCATTCACCACGGGTGAATGGTGGCCTCGGCTCAGGCCTTGCTTGCAGCCACTGGGAAACATCTTTGTGATGTGGCAGCCACACATTTTTTTGTGAGATTCATCCCTGGCCTAAATAGTGCACTCCAAATACATAAATGTGTTAAAGAAGTGAAGGGTGCAGAGGAAGCCCCCACAATCCAAAGTGAGTGAGCGTGTGAGGTATGCCTGAGCTTGCAGCCATCCTAGCAGCTCTGGAAGGTTTTCTTACAGCAACAACTGATTAACTCTGGAACCTAATGATTACCAGGTGGGTGCCAGGGCTGCTAATGCATTCAGAAGAACCATCCACCAACCACATGTACTAATGGCAGGGTCTCTGGCTGACTTGGATGCTTTTTCTGGGCCCCATCCTCAGTTGCTCCTTCCCCAAGTGCTAATCCTTCCAGCTCTCCTCAAGAGAACTTTTCAGGAGATCACTAAAAGCTGTCTGTAACAAAACTTGCAGCATAGTAAAACCTTGCCCAGACTTAATTTATCAATACACCTCAATGTTGTTTGATTGTACTGGCGATACTTCCATCATCCTGCCACAGAATCCAGGGAAATGAAGGGAGGATATAGGCTGCAACGCACTGCAGAGTGCATATGACCTTGGCTGTGGTAAGCTAAAATATGCACAATTCCCTAAGCTGTATGCAGAAGTGTGGATAGTTTTGGCAGGGTAGGACAGTGTAAGATATAACAGTTTTAAATCCCATTTTGAACTCAAGGGGACTATTCCAAGCTTTCCAAAAAGGAGGAGGGAGGGAAAACTATAAATATGCTGAAGCTTGATAGCCAAGGAAGCTTAAAGACAAAAAAACCTTGACTTGACACACTGCATTTTACATAGTTTCTCTGTGTACGTGCCTGGACAGTGGAAGACATTTAATTTATGTCACTGCACATGAATGGTATAATCAGAAACGGCTGCCTTGGAAATGCTCCTATCTCAGCAGGACACAGTCCCCGGTCCACAAGGGCTTTGTGTTTCGAGGACAACCAGGCATCTTCTTAGGACACACAGGTGCTTAAGGTGGACGGAGAGTGCAGTGCCAGGAAATACCTGAGCAGCTCCCCAAAGACCTGCCTGAGCTGAGAAGCAACACAGACACAGGCTTAACTTGATTTCACAGCACCCCTCCATGAGACCTTGGAGACCTTGCGAACTGAGGACAACCTGAGTCCCCTGACATGGTAGAGAAAGTGGGTTGTAGAGGGAGTTTGAGTTCATCATCTATGGGTCTGAGATCCTGGCATGTATTGCCTGGGAATCTGTCCTGAGGAAACTGCATTATTTCCTACCTTCAGTGATCAATGTATTTGCATTTTGCGTGCTTCCATCATCCATGGAAGCATGGAAGCATCATCCGTGCTTCCATTCGTCCTCTAGTAAAAGGACACTACCTAAAAAATGAAATTACTCCAGGAAACTAAGAAGAAAGAATAATGGGGCAATTTATGTGTACTTCACTTATTCTGAGAAGCCTTTCCATTAATGTAAATGACTTGGAAATAAACCAGCTCTGAATTAAGATTCAGTGTCAGAAGATACTGCCTTATCATTTGACCAGCAACATCTCTTGCAAGGTGACCAAAAAACTCTAACTCATTTTATTTAGTGTGTTCTCCTAACACCATTCCAGGATTTCCCCCAGTTTCTGGGTTTTCCCAGGAGGAAAGAGCATGGGGGAACATCTCACAGACAGCCGTGTGGCATCACTGCTGCATTTGGAGGGCCATGAATTGGCAGCGCACTTTCATTCTCATCAACTGTGTTTGAAAACATTTCGCTTTTGGCTGGCAGTGATCACTGACATCTGGGACAAACCATGACAAAACATCTAGACCCCTGATGGATCCTGGGGGTTCTTTGTATAGAAAACCATACTTCAGGACCCATACTTCATTCATGGGGATGTCTTGGCTGATTTTGATGAACTTTGGACCAGGAAAGATATTGTTTAGCTGCCCTGGCTTGCCAGTTGTCATTTCTAAAAGCAGTATTCATCTGATTCTGTATTACTGTTTCAGTCACTCCCCACTGACCACTGGCAAAAGGTTGTGGGTGGGAGCAGTGTGTGTGTGTGGCTGGGTTCTCACTGAGGGGGCAAATGTTTCCCCTCCTCCCCTGCTTTTAACACATCCATTATTGGTGGAGCTTACAAGGAAAAACAACCCAAATCCCAATCAGGCCCTGCAATCAGGTTTATACCAATGTGGAAGATTTATGATATGGGTTTTCTGTGTTTTGGTGGGGAGATTTATAAGAGGAGCCAGAAGTTTTGGCAGCACAAATCCTGCTGATGTTCAGCATAATTTATGGTCCAGAGTGCCTCATGCGTGTTTGAGAGTCACCCCCAGTAATTTACAGAGACTCACAGAATGCATTTAAGTGCCTGCTTTTACATTGGGAGCACTTTTGCATTCAGGTCTTTGGCCTTCGGTGTTTAGTAACTTTTAGCACTGTTAATCTTGCCTCAAGTACAAACAAACTAGGCTGATATGTAAAATTTACTGCTGGAGAGTAACATGAATCTTGCATTGGGGTTTGTTCCTTTCCAGCTGGGGAAACCAGCTGGAATGGGTGATAGACAAGAATTGCAAGTCAGTGATAATTCGCTTGAGTCACATTTGAAGGGTGAGAAACCTTTCAGATACCTGTCTTATTTTTGCACTGCTGATGGACATGGAGACCTGCACCCATCTGTCTTGGACCAGAACACCCTGGCCACAGATTTGTCTCTTCAGCTCAGCTCTGGAGAAACCCAGATACAACATTATGCTCAGAGGACTAGTAGATACAGTCAACTGGGAAGGCCCTGACTAAAAACCACAGATATAAAAAATAAGAGAAAAGTTTACTTGGTTTTGCAGTAGGCCACAACACACATGATGCCAACTACTAGAAGAGCAATGCAAATGCCAGTTATGGTCAGCACCCGTTTCTGGTACAGTTCCTCAGCTTCTAGAAAGGGACAAAAACAGAGAAGGTCACAACATGGAGGATGGCTAGGCATGGAGCACGCAGTCAACAGCTGGCATGCTACAAACCATTGCACAGATTCAAACAGCCACACCAAAACACAGCCACCACACTTCAGGCAGACTCATTATTGACTGCAAGGAGAACAGACTACACCATAAGCTCTTAACACATTACTGGGGATGAGCTGCCATCCGTACAATTACAGTCAAAAGTAATCTTTTTTTTTTGTTTCTTTAAGTCAACATGAATAATATCTAAGAAACAACTTCACAATTGACAAACACTCAGCATTTGCTGGAAATAAAATGCAATGCACTAAGGTAATAACATTAATTTGCAAATGCTTTGGAAGTTTTACTCTGCAAAGACAGCTGAAATGAAGGCCAATTTTATGGACCTTAAAAGAAATTTATTTTCATCTTATCTTTCTTGGATTGTTTTCATATCCAAAGTCACTCTGCCCTGTGTCAATTTATATCTCAGTTGTCTTTACAGGAGAGATTTCAAAATAACCTATATTTGAGACGTGAGCTTGGCTTGTAATTATATCACCAATGGAAAGGAAGACACATTTTGAGCTCTGATCGTAAAATTCAGACTCTTTCTCCAGTGGTCCTCCAAAAACACAGCAATATCAACAACCAGTAGTGCCTTGTATCAGAGGAATGCTGGGTTTCTACTTGTGTCTCTGTGTCCAACAAAGGAACTGCTCTATCTAGAGTGGCAGCTTGCTCAATGATGACAACTTTTTACCAAACTCATTCATCAGAGATATTTCACCATTATAAAGACATTAGTAGCACTGGTAGTGTTTGGATTGGAGCTACCCATGCACTGGATTGGAGTGTTAGTGTTTGGATTGGAGTACCCATGGGTTGGAGCTACCCATGCACTCCAGCCTTGCTGACGCTTGGCAGAGGGCATCGCTGCGTGCTGTGCTGGGAAAACATTATGTAAGGAACACTGAAACAGAGGCACATTCTCTGTTGATGCTTTACTGATGCGGATTTGCATTCCTTTTCTTTTAGGAACAAAAATGGGTGGCGTCTAGCTTTTCTCAAGTCTTATTTTTGATTAAGTAGCCAGTCCAGAAAACTTGCCCTGGAGGATCCATACCGGAGGGTAGCCTTAGGTCAGACTGCAATATTGACCATAGTCAGAATACCAGCAGGTGATTAAAAATAAATGAATGAATAAAAGCTGCACAGCTCTGCACTATCTTTGCGATAAATGCCATCATTATTCCTGCCGGAAGGGACTTACATGAACATAAAAGGCCTGTGGGGCAATTCACCAGGAAGTACAGAGATGCACAATGGTTTCTCACATGTGCCATGAGTCTCTGTCCAAGCTCAGGCACTTAAGTGATGTGCTGTCATAAATGCCATGCCAGTTCAGGAGAAAATGCTCTCTACTGAAGAGGGAGCAGTCATTCCTCCGATGTGTTTCCTGGGCTTATCTAGTTTAGTTTTAAAGCTGCTGTGGGTAAATGGCAAATATTCCATGCAACAAACCACAAAGCAAAAAGAAATCTTAATTTCTCTGATACAATGCACCTTACCATGGAATGAATTTGTCATACAAGCCAAACCCACTGTAAACCAAAACACCAGCAAACACGTCATGAGCATTGTCAGACAAAATTAATAGCACTGATTATTAACAAGGGGGAAGGGGGGGAAGAAGTGAGTTTGGTAAAACTAGGATGCTGCAAAAATGTATTAAAGGAAACAAAAATATAACTCCAAGAACAGAAAGTCAAAAAAGGGAAGGAAGAAAGGGCTGAAACTCCAAACCAAACCAAACCAGGACAAAGAGAAAAAGAGGAAGGTGAAATATAGGGAATAAGGTTAAAGGTTTAAGAAGTCAACTGCAGGCCTGGCACAGCATGCTTAAAACTGGAAAAAACAGAATGAAGAAAAGCTTGGGGACAAAAAATAAGGTTGAAGCAGAGTGTGAAGGGATTTCTCATACAGCATAACTCCTTGCCTAGGCTAGTTAGTGGCACTCGATCCCCTTCCCATTTTTGCCCCTTCTGAAAGCGCTTATTAGTTAGTGATGGAAATGGTGTATTACAAGGATGTCACAGTAAACAGGAGAATTGCACTAAGCAATTTAGGGTCAAATTTGAAATGCTTTCAGTTATTCTTTTGGGTTTTGTTGGTGGTTTTTTTTGGTGTTTTTTTTTTTGGTCACGCTGCCAGCTGTTAGGTTGTGAAAGCAAAATGAATAAGGACATATCGACCTGTTTTTCTGGAGGGGAAGGGAGTGGAGGAAGAAGATTAATTAACAGTGGAAACTGGTATTGGTTGTTTATACTCAGGGAAAAATTGCACTGACTCCAGGAGGTTTAATCCAGGCTGAGGCTATTGCAAATGAGCTGGGCGGCTGGCCAGTGATGGCCTTGCTAAGGCTGTCAGTGGGTTAAAGCTTGTCACTTGTGTGTGCAACGCTCCTGGGCTCTCACCCACTGCAGGGAGGGGGGTGCAGCAAGAGACCAGGGCTGTGAGTACAGCCCTGCGGAACGGTCCTTGCACCGGTACGTCTGCTGGGACTGTAGGTCTTGAGGGGCATGGTAAACTCTGGGTCTGCTTTCATTGCCTTAATTACCTCTCACACCCCTCAAAATGAGGCCCTTAGGATGAACCAGCCTGACATGATGTGCATGAACGTCAGTTATGCCATGTTTCTCCCTCAAGCCATGGGGGGCAATGGCTGCCTGGGAAGCCACATGCATTCAAGCATGTCTTGCCCAGCAAACCAGCAAGCTCCCATGTAAACCTGACTGCACTACTGGCGAACAGGGTCTCGTTACCCAGGACAGCAGGGGTGAACTGGGGGACACCTGGGTGTCCTGCAGGGGCTGCTGCATGCAGGCAGGCATGGGATGCTGGCAGTTGGGATGTGATGGGGATCCTGGCCACCAGTCTGCAGACAGTGCCTCAAGGACAAGCCTTGGCCTCTCTGCCTAAGGCCAGAAGAGTTTTACAAAGCAAGGACCAAACTCCAACAGGGCACTTGCGGTTATACCAGGTATCACCCCAAAAGTGCCCTCTCTCTCTCTAAGGGGTTTTAACATTTACAGAACCAGTTAATGATGCCCAGCCAAATAACATGTGCTGTGTTTACAGTGCTCATCAAACTAGCTTGAAAAAAATTAATAGCAGCCTTGGGGAAAAATCCATAAAGGAATGTATGTGCAGTGAGAATTTAGAAAAGTTTTTAGCCTGTTAAGTATTAAAAATCATTTGAATACATTTTTTTCCCCTGCAGATTGCTAGCAAAATCAAATCAACATGAGACTTGAGCCAAGATGCTAAATCCCTCTGATCTGAAGCCTTTTGAACATGCACATTATGCAATTAATTTCACATCACCCTAATTTATACATAATTGATAATATATATGGTCTTAAATTTGCTCTGTTTTAAAGTTTTGCTTCCCACAGGTCTCTGGGGATTTTTAAAAGAATTTTATTCCAAGAGGTGGTTCCGCTGATGTAATTTCATATATAAATCAAAATTTGCAGGTCAGTTTTTTAAAGGATTTTAATTTAATTCCTCATATGTTAATGTAGCCATGTATCTTCTAGTACATACGAGTGAGAATTAATATTATCTTGTGATAGTAACAATAAGCTGGGTTGTGAGAGATTTTTTAAATTTGGACTTGTAATGGGTTTTCCACAGTTCAAAGCTTAAGTTAATGACGTTTTGTGGGGGCATTTTTAATAAGAACATGAACTAAAACTGTGTGAAAAGCAACACTAACTGGTTCTTCTCATTTGCTGACAATTTTAGGAGATTCTAATCTAAAAGTGACTTGAATTTCAAGTTAGCCTATTCAAGAGAGGCATTATTTATACCCCTGATTACAAAGTACAGTCAAAGTACAGTCTATTCATGAAGAGGACTTATAAGATCTATTTCTATTATATTTAAGCTGAAGTGTAAAAATAGTACCCACTGCCAGTGTTCTCGGTTGAGTGCAATATGAGTTTGGTATTAGAAATATTGAATATAATTGCTGACTTGAGAATCTGGAGTATAGCTGTAGACCGCTACTTAAGTTCCTAAATAACTTTCAGTTCACTTCTAATTTACAGACCTAGAAATGAATGTGTATATGCATATCATTTACACATATGTATATGCATCTGATTAACATACCTAGCTGTGGATTTAGACACAAAATTTAACTTGGAAACCAGAGCTCAAAACTGTAAATTTCCAGAATTTTAAGCGGCTATAACAGCTTATCTTTTTTAATAGACTAGTTAGTCATTCTGCTTAATAATTACAATGTTTCCAAAACCTGGCAACCCTAGAAGAACTTAGCAAAAGCAAATGTCAAAACTAGTCAAAATTACACAGCAGAAAAATGAATGTACACTATGTTATGAATACTTCAGTAATTCCTAGAACTCCTTAGGGCTTGAATATCCTATCACTGTTACCATTTTAGTGAGCTGATGTCTGCTAACATTTTGACAAGAGTGGTTGTTATAGCTGTATGATCCCTTCTAAAGCATGAACAAATTGGTTAAGAATTGAAAAGGGGAGGTGGAGAAAAAAAATGAAAGGAGTTTATCTCTCAGGCTCTAAAATCTGCAGGCTAAAAGGAATGATTGGTCCATACCCATAAATTCAATCCCAAGATGCTCTGCCAATGCAGAAAGTTGACAAAAAAAGAAAGAAAAAGGAAAAAGTTTCAGAAAAGAGCAATACACTGTACTCAAAAATAAATCACATATGAGAATTATGGCTATTCTGTGTCTGCACATGAAACAGGACAAAGGGGTGTATGGTTACGTGGGCAGTGCACAAGTGCACCTCTTCAAGCTACATGACCAGATCTTCTGCAAGGGTTACACACCAAAATACGTATATGGGATCTGAACAGCCACAATGCAAGGAACGAAGCAGGAACCATTAACCCTTAAAGATCTTACTGAGATGAAGGGCACTATGGTCTGAGGACTCCATGTGAAATGGCTGATGGTTTTCAGATAGGACCATAGGAGGACAGGGATGCTTTACAAGGGGTGGCATCCGCCTGCAAATGGGTTGTGCATTGCTCTCCCTTATGGCTCTGCTCCCTGGTACGCGGCTCCTTGCTCTTGTGGGGTGCGAACTGGAGGTGGCTGGGACTGTTTGCTCGGCAGTGGGAGCCCTTTGCAGCTTTGCAAACTGACTGCAGCAGGGCTCTCATTTCTTGAAAATGAGGGGCCAACCCCTTTTCCCCTGCCTTTGGGCTGTGCTGCCTTAGCAGAACCACCCATTGGCCAGCTGGATGCACCCTGGGGTTCAGGGGCTGATGCCATTTACATGGATTACATGCCTAAACTAGCACACCCAGGTGCCAGCAGCCGGGGGTGAGGAGGAACATATGTTCCACCCCGGCAGGTACCCAGGAGACCCTTCCCATGGGGCCAACATCATAACTGTGGTAGCTCTCACTTTGTCCTTGTGTGCTGTGAAATTTAAACCCAATCCTTATTTTCTGACCAAATGGATTTTTTATGTAGTTTGTATACATTGGGAATGCCAATTCTTTCCTGCTAATCAGTAACATTTTAAGGGTTAAGTAAGTTGGAATGCATCCAGGTCTCTTCCTGAAGAGTCAGTATTACATGCCTGCATGAACACTGCTAACAATATACATTAGTTGCATAGAAAGCTTGGTTAATTCTCCAATAAAATGAATGACATGCCCATGCATATATATTGCTATATTTATGCTTTCTTATAGGTAAGACACCTAGCCTGGATGTAATTTAATTTTAGGGGAAGTCATTCATATCATGCAGTTTCTATTTCAATTAATTCAATGGGAAGCTGGTACTTAGAATGGGAATGTATTCTGGCTGAAAGCCCTAACAAGAAGACATGCTGAAGAAACATGCATTGCTTATACAAACCTAGATGCTGTGGAGCTCTAATTTATCTTTGGTATTCCTAGCTACATTCCCTGAACCTGATTAAAAGAAAGTAGAATATCCCACCACTTCTCATTTTATAAACAGGTCATTATTTTCTTTTCCTATTTAACCCAATATTGTTGTATACTTTTTACATGCAATGTGGTTTCTATTGAATATTTATCCAGATGCTCTAAGAAGAAATACAATTCATTGTTTTTAACAACTCAGTTTTAATTCTGGATGTGATCTTTGTGGGGGCAGTATTGGAAGCAAAAGTGCTTGGGAAGCAATTTTTTTGGAGGGGCAAAAAGTGACTTACAGCTACAACTTATTGGATATATTGCAGCACGCTGGGGTCCAGGGCCTGCAGAACAAGAATATGATGCCTGGACATGCTGGAACAGGTAGGTCCTCCAGGATTGAATGCTGTGTTCATGAGTGGTGTGCCACAGATGCTGGGCACCCAAGATTTTGGGGTGGCTACTCTATAAAGTTAGGTGGGTGGGTAGCCTGGGTACATGGTGCTTCCCAAGGCGGGGTAAGCACAGTCACAGGTTTCTGTGGAGACCTTGCACCTGACAAGAGAAGGACCTGTTTGGATCAACTGCATGCAGAAGCAGAGAGGTCCAGGGAGACCAATTTCACCTCTGAAGCATCAAGGTGCCATGTTTCTTAAGTCATTGTTTAGTTTTCTTATTAAATGTGTTCTGTGGGTAATGAGAAATTCTAAAAAACTTTTTTTCATATAATTTGAATTGAACACCAGCTAAAATCCCCCAGACTACCACAGAGCAGAACCCCTAACCGTCAGCCAACTCCGCTTGAGGGGCTGGGATGCTGTGTCTCTTCATGAGGCTTAGGATCCCCTTTGGATCCTAAATCTTGGTTCATTTCAGTGGTACTCAGGCAGCAAATCAATTTTGAACTTGGGACGTTAAGTCCTGTGGCTCCAGTAAAAGTGTTATCCTACAACTGATTTGAGTCTCAGAAGTACAGAAAATGTCCTTCCTTAATTAGAGTAGAGATTAAGTGAGCAGTTTATAGTGAAAAACTGTCTTCTTTAACCTTGAGCAGAAGATGGACAATGACATTTTTCAAATGTATTTGTATCATTTCGGAGTCTTGATCTCAGAACATTTAGGTTGCTGAAAGGCTTTAGAAAATGAAAATTTCAGGTAAGATTGTCTAGTACCCTCATACAGATATGACCACTTGAGAAATATACAGAAATTGAGAAATACCGAGCTAATAGAATTGCTGAAGGATGGAGTTTTGAAGATCTGTAGTTTACGTGGAAAGACTGAAAAATTGAGGCCGTTACAGAGCAACAGCAGTTTTGGTCATCCCTCTAGAATATCATAGCTTTACTCAACTCCTGCCCCTTTAATTTCTCAGACAGGCTTATCTTGACAATATGAGGCAGGGGCTGTCATCTAAATAGAAATTTCCATTTGCGTCTCTTGATACTGTCCCTCTTGCTCACCAAGGATGGCAGAGCTGAAACGGACACAGTTTAAACTGGTGTCCCATGCTGAAACACTTGTCTTCAGGAAGGCAGGGACCACATTGAATTCATGCCTAAGATGGCTCACAGCATGCCCAAGTTGTGCACAAGTTGTTCTATCTTTACAATACGTATATAACTGCTAACTAGTGAAGTAAGCAAGTCAATTTGCCCTTTGGATGGGGTCGTTGGCCCATCTGGGGCATTTAGGAGGACAGAGAGTTTACCTGTGATTATGCTCTAGAGAAGTTTCCTCCACCTCCTATTAATCCAAGGCTCTGCCAGTGTTTCTTATCCCAAGGATCATTCTGCACAGTGTTGCTATAAGAGTTCTCACACAAAAATTCTCTACACAAAAATTAGCCAAAACTTTTAATGTTAATTCATTACTTTTATTTTCCTCCATTTGCCTTGCTTCCTTGCCTTCAAGGGACTGAAGGTGTGAACATTCAAATACAGCAAATATAACTGCATGGAACAGATGTATTTTTGCAATACTTTTGTGGACCACTTTCTGGTGTCTTATGGACCAATGATGGACCATGACACTCAAAGTCAAAACTGCTGCAGCAGAAAGCCAGGGTATTGGGGAATACAACTGGCAGCAGCTGTGCTCAAGGAAAGGACATTACAGGATCTGCCATCCAGACCCCAGAGATGAGCAAAACTAGCACAGTTTGTTCTTTAGTTTCCTTTGGTCTGCAGTAACCACCAAGTGAAGGGGAAAAACTGCATAGCTGCAGTGCTGGAAGTAACTGTGGCAGTGGGGAATCTAACAGACATCACTTCTCCGTTACAACAGGTTGTCCTATGGTTTGGTGTGCTTACCAAGCTGGAATCCAAGGGACAGTCACCCTAAACGTGCTTTCCAGTAGTTTCCCTCACATCCATTCCCGGTTATGCTCACATTTCCACTGACAGAAAGGAAAGGCATTTCTATGGATGAACTTCCTTAAAATGGAGATCCACCTAATTTCCTGTGTCCCTTTTCAACCCATTTTTAGTGCACTATGATAACTGAATCCTCCAGGGCTAACTGAACCACTGCCGAGATAAGCCAGTTAGCCTTGCCCTCTGTTGGGACAGGAGATTTCCAGAACACTTAGCATTGGCCTTGTTTTGATCTTGCAAAAGGCCCTCAGCAAAGCTCGTAACTTCAGGACTCTTACAAATACCAACTCTAGGGCAGATTTCTGAAGCTTTTTCTCAACAGCCAAATACAGAGCCTTAAGGCAGTAACAGCTCATCAGTAGGCACACTTGCATGGAACACCATTGACCCTTTCTTTCCAAATGAAGAAAGACCATTCTGAAAGCACATAAAATTAGATAGCGCTGTGTAGCTCACATGTACACTTTTGTTTCCTACTGGCACTTATGCTGTTTAACATCCCAATTTGCTCTGTACTTCGCAAAAGCTCCATCTACTGCCCTAAGTTAATCACCTGCAACACTTGGTGCAAAATATGAGCTTGACTTGAAGCCCCAAATGCAACATCTGCCTAAAGATAACTCTCATTCTAAATCCCATTTTTAATTGTATGCTCTGGTCTGTGTTGGGTGTAATAATAAAAAGTCATATAAATGCTTCTTCATTGATTATTTTTTTGTTGTTAAATATAAATATAAGCTCACTGGACCCTCTCCAAAATTGTCATTTTAAGATTTGTAGCAGTTTAAGAAGCCTGATGTTATACAGCAGATGCGGGGTAGGCAGAAGTCCAAGAGTCTCATAGTGATTGCCTGGGGCTCTCAGAATAGCCTGAGGTAGGTAGTGGTGTGCTAGTGCATTTCAAGGAGAGGAGGGCTGGACCAGCTTAAGTACTTACAGCTGAGCATAACTCTTGCAGCAAGGCAAGGACATCTATGCCTTTTCCATGGAGGCAACTTCAGAAAATCTCAGCCTGGTGTCTACTGCCCAAAGATTGGTTTAAAAATCCCAATCTGAGTTAGGTAACTGAAAAACTAATGAAGGTAAACCCACCTAAACATCTTCCTTTTTTTTTTTTCTTTTTTTTTTATGGGTAGGAAAATGAATTTACCATCAACATAAAATCCTTCCATAGTTTTCAGGGTGAATTCAGCAGTAAATTATGGATCTTGTATTTTTACACCACTTCCTTTTAAATGATGTGTCTAAGATCAGAAAACCTTAATTGCACTTTTCACCACAATACGCAGAAAAGGCAATTTAAATCTAACATTTCGTAAACTTAAAGACTGTAACAGCATAAAAATTTTCAAATACATAGTTACCAGAGGCATTTTAAAAATAACTCACACTAATAAAGCTTATAAAACAGGGCATAGAATACACACTTGAATGCTGGAAGGTCTAGTCTTCAGTCAGCACCCTTGGGATTTACATGGGTAGCTTCCATGATGGGCAGTATGAATTATGTATGGACATTTTTCATCCATCAGTGTAAGAGAAAACCTATGCATCTCTTCAGGCTCCAAAATGTCCAGCACATGTTAACAGCTTTTTGTCCTATATACTAATGGAAATTAAATTAAGCTAGCCTGTAGTCTCTGAAATCCTTCTGTGCTGGCAAGTAATCCATCAGAAAAAATACTTCCTATAATACTGCTCTTAGATCATAGTACATTCTGATGCCAGCGACAATTAATTATGAATAGTACCAATGCATTAAAATGTAAGATCTGACCAATTTTCTTATATGTTACCTTTGACTTTGCTATAGCCAATAAGAGAAAATAAATATTCAATGTACTTTCTGTTTCCTCCCTGACAAGTAATAATAATTAATCCGTCCCTCCATGGGAGAGCTTATGAGATATGTGACTGCAGTGCTGATTCTACCAGCAGTGTGACATAGACACAGTCGTGTGGGGGGGGTGGAGGGTGGGTACATTTCTTTGGCCAATTAATCTGGCTCTGAAATGCTTCATCTCTTGCACCTGTTACCCACAAATAAATATGTTATGCCCCATTGTTTATGCTGTCTCTCCCCCGTTTTCTTTTTCTTTCTGCGCTCTTTCCCCTGTAAATTGGACAATGAGGAGGAAGAACACTTTAATCCTGTTTGGCATGTAAGCAGGTGAATTACTTTTAACATGTAGGTCCAAATACAAATCTCATGTGCAAGTAGAGGATTAGTTGCGTGTCCCTTTGTTGGAGGAGTGCTTCCCTATATAGACACTCATAAGCTTTTTGTGGCAAATAAAACATGAGACTTTCAAAATGTCATGTTTTCACTTTTACTGCTTGATGTCAGTGGGGAGTCCATATCACACCATTCAATGTTAATTTCACAGCATTCCTAAGTCTTGCATTTCTGCATAACCTCAATGCCAAACAATCCAGGAGAGTATTGCAATTGCTTTTTGTTATCATTTTCATGCAAAGGGCAGAGACAATCAATATTAGGCCTTAGGCAACAAATCTAGTTACAGATTAAAAAAAAAAAAATTGGAGGAAAGATGCAGCAACAAGAAAGCAGCACCAACTGAGCATGCTTCTACTGTGGCACAGACAGAAAGGTAGTGGACGTACTGTAGAAGCTGGCCATTACGTAGTTTTGGCAGCGATCACCAGTAAATTCATTTGGGCACCTGAGAGGAAAAACAAACAAAAAAAAATGGTAGAGAAAAAACAGAGAAAAGAGAAGAGGTGAACATATGCTAAGAAAGAAGCTCCTTCAGTGTGAACTGATAAGACTTGGTGAGTTCACTTTCAGAAACTGAATCTCGGTTTAGCATGTCAAAATGGTTCAAGATGTTGAGAGCAACTCATTTGCTCTGTGGAAATGAAAAGAAATCCCCCCTTGAAAAACCAGCCAAACCCAAACCAATCCAGATCAAAGTGTGTTTCGAGATGTGAGACAGAAATTCACCATTCCAAATTCCCAAATTGCTTTTAGGATGCACTTTCCACAAGGCAGTGAGGACACAAGATCTGTACATCCCTCATCTCCATGAGTTTGCTCTTTTAGGATTGCACCTTACAGCAGTCTCCCAAACAAGAAAGCTGCCAGTGTGTGCAATACAAATGCGTCTGTGAACGGATGGAAAGATCAAAAATCACACAAACGAGAAACATTTTGGAGGTCAATAATGCCATGGTGTACAGATTTTACTTTAGACAATCAGGTCATAAATTAGTGTGTAAAGAGGCCGGTTCCAGCTGAACTGTGAAAACACCAAGTAATATTGATTTTGTTGCTGTAGTTGGGGAAGAAAGCAAAGTTCAGATTATTTTAACATACTTTCTTGGTTTTGGATTTTCATGGGCAGAGTTTCAGTACATCTTGCTCCAGTGAATCCAGGTTGGCACCTAAAGGGCAAAAATGTGATAAGCAACAGTAGACCAAAACCACTGCACTAACAGACTGACATCTGCTGGCCTATGGAGATGGGAGTGCATTAAGTGACCTCCTCGTTAGGTGTTAGTGAATAATGATCAGAAAAGGGGCAAGAAAGTGTAACCTTTCCAGAAGATAACACTTTGCAAAATTTACAGCAAAAATTCACAAGAGAAAAAAATCTAGGAAGTCTTTTTGCTTGTCTGTTTTGAAAAAGATAGAAGAATCAGGGCTAGCAAAAATGGGTATCAGCTCATTGCTTATTCCACCTCATGAAGGGACCAGATTGAGTTTTTTCAAATTTCCAATGCAGAGTGTAACAGCAATTTACACTGTTTTCACCAGTCACACAAAATCTATCAAAACACCATGGTTTCCCTATTTCTGTAATTGTACGTTGTATCTTCTAGTAGTTTCCTTTGAAGAGGAATAGTTAAAACAACAATCACAGAAAAGCCAAAAAAAGTCCAAAAAGGAGAAGATAAACTTAAACCCAAAGGCAGGAAGTATATTCAATGTGGCTGACAAATGGAAAAATAGTCAGTCCAGTCAATAAGTAAGATAAGAGGGCAGAAGTGCTCTCAAAATTTGAAGCCCGACAGCTGTCCACCCTTTCAGTTCATAAGCTCTTCTGCAGAAAACTTCAATGCAGATTTCCCCTTGGTCATAATGAAGGAATTTGTTTTCTGTGCTTTGCCTGTTTTTTTTTCTGCTGTTGGCTGTCAATTCTTCCTTCACCTTTATTCTCCATTTTGGAGCAGAGCTCAGGCTCCCAAAATATCACCATAGCCATGCAGGCTCCTGTGCTTCAGACATAAGTGTGAATGACTGTCCGCCACACTAAATCTCTATAGATTTCCATCTTCTTTCCTCCTCCTTCTTCTATCCACTCGTACTCAGTGTGTAACCTGAAATTACCTGAATTACCTTTCTGATGCTCTCCATGAGTTTGCCATGGTCAAGAATCTCTTTTTCTCCTGCTGCCAATCTGGTGCTAGCTTCCTTTTCCAACTGCTACACCATTTACTCGTCAGGGCCTGAAGAGCCTTCTTATTTGCAAATGCATGTTGTTCAGAACAATCCTCCACCTCTTCTATCCATCTGAGTTTCATGTGCATTGAAAGCTCTCGTGATTTTTTTAATTCCACTCTTCCACAATTGCCTCTAGCCCTAAGGATCAGGGATCCTGCCCTTATACAAGCGGGACTTCCAGAAAATCACTTTGGTAGAGGACTGGGGTCAGGCATAAACACTAGTATCTTGTTTAAATGAACCACGTAGGAATGATTTTTGTATAATAAAGGTATATTTTGAGGATCTGCAGATGATTCTTTGGAGCTGATTCGCTGTAATGATATATGTGTTTATTAAGGAAGGGAGTATATATTCTTCAAAGCCAAGGTCACATCTTCTGGTAAGTACCCAGTGTGGAGAGATCTCAGTCTCCACAGATATATTCAGTTGAGAAAAATGCAACAACAATAACTCTGTCATGAAAAGGTGATACTGCTGGGCATGATAGAAGTCTTTTTGCATCTTTGATAGAAAGCAAAATGCCTTTGACAGAAGGCATTTTGATCTGTGTTACTGAATGAGAGTTAAAATGGTTTACCCCTGTGATTTCAGTTTTATTTTGCACTATAGTGATCTTGATAAATTCCCATCCCTGGAAAGCTGGCATTCACACCTGCATTGGCTTTCATTTCACAGGGACCTTTACATCTTGTTCGTCAGGCTCAGCCCTACACAATCCCAATGAACATGCTGCCGACTAAAAGCCTCAGGCTTTGCTCCTACCACTGGCCGGTGGTGGTTGCTTGCTCCCTCTGTGCTTGTTTTCAGACGTTGGTGCAGCTGTGGAGGTGACGAAAACAACTGCAGCACTGGTGTAGACAATGCTGAAATCAATTCCAGACCAAGAAGGATCAGCTCTGTTGAGACAGTGCTGGAAACAGCTCAGGTGGGTTTATACTTGCTCTGAAACCATTGTCAGCAAACAGACTGCAGCACCTGCTGCTGAGAACAGGTCCAGGGTGAGCCAGCTGAGATGACAGCCAAGATGAGCCTGTCAAGTTATGATTATGTGTGAAAGCTAAAGGCATTTTAGTGCTCAGATATGCAGTACAGCGCTGTTTCCAGTGCTGTTTGGTGGGTTGTTTACTGTAGACTGTGCTTTTACAAATTGCGATGGTATCATTTTCAAAGCACCTTGTCCTACTCAAAGATTCCAGACCATATTTCTTGCTGTGTTTGTAATGAACTTTTCTAGTTCATTACCCATGTACCATTTTCTTTTATGACACTAGGAAAAGTTGGAGTCAAGCAACTCAGGGCAAGAAGGAGACATTTTTACTGCAAGAGCCTCATAATTTCCTTTCTGACTAAAAAAAGGCTACTTGGACCATTTACTGTATTAACTGGGTGAAACCACAATACTAAACAACATATACTAAAATAATTGCTTTTTCCTCTATACACAGTAGTTTCAAAGAGCAGTATTTGCATGCATTCAGATAGCACTTCTCAGAACACTGGATGCATATCAAAACAAACATCAAACTGTTTTTTGTCAGGAGAGGAATGACTGAATGGATCAGGACCTCACATTTCCATTTCACCCACTGCCTATAAGCAAATGCATTGTGGAAGAATCTTTTTTTTCATGGGAAGTACAGTACACTTCCATTTTTAGTAGTCCATAGCAGTCAGAACTAGTATTTCTATCCTGCTTGTTGAACAAATATCTCTGGAACTTTTGCTAGTGTCATGGAAACAAATATTCTCTTTTTGCTCTTTTCAAAAACCTTCTGTCAACTTCAATTCCACCAAGGCCTTTACATGAAGATGGATATAGAAAATGGCTAAATCATTAAAAAGTATGTCATTCACTCTTTTGCTGTTAAGAAAAGAAGCAGCATCCTTCTGTTAGAGAGAAGCATTATTTTCATCCAGTTAAACTTGGACGAAAATTCGTTTCTTCAGTAACAACAAAAGTACTACAAAAGACGATCTCTGTAAGTAAGGAATCAATTAGTCAGACTAGCAAGGCCTTCACAGTAGGATACTTCAAAAGAACACTCTAAAAGCATAACAGATACAATATTCATATAGATTCTTCTTCAACCAAGACACAAATGTTAGGAATTCTGTTCTTAATTTTGTATTTATTGAAGAAGCTATCTGATTTTTTGTCTTAAGTAAACTTGGGGTCATAGTTCCAACTGAACAGAAATTACTTGGGAACCTCAGTCTCATAGGAAGCCAGTAAGGTTCAGGCTTCCAAAGTCTATGGTGTTTTCAAAATGTGACTCATGTTCCTGTGAAACTTCTGAAAATTTTATACATGTGTTTGTTTAAGTAGTCTCAAAGCTTCCTTTTTCATCTTTCTTATTTTGAGATTGTTTTGTTCAGTCTGGGCCCATAATTATAAGACATATAGGGAACACACATGCTAACAGAGAGGTAGCTGTACAATGCGTTACTAAGTCTTCACACATTTCTTGAGGATTTCACATGGTTACCTCTTGAAAGCAGGGAATTTTCTCAAAGTTTACGCCAGTATCTATGAGAGCAAGATCTGATCCAGTCTGGATCATTACACTATGTATTTTACAAAACACTTTTTTTTTTTTTTTTTAAATTCATAGCTAGATTTTAACAGAAGATGGATTTAGAAGCTCCTTTTTTTAATAGAATAGGGGGGTTACAAAACCAGAGATATCACTTGGAAAATTCCATGGTTGCTGTTAATCTGAGTCATATTTTTTTGGTTAGGGATAAAACCAATTTAGAATGATATGGCTCATGCTTTAGAAATTTTGTTTTTGCTCTCAACAGATGCACCATATGGAAAAATGTGAACTTGCTACTGAGGCAGAAATATGAAGAGCAAGTACCATATTTCAAGCATTCTGTTTCCACAGGCATGTTCTGGGGGAAGATTTATTTTCTCAGAACAATGAAGGCAATGTGTACTGGTTAGATTTTTTTTTTAATTAACACTGGAATACTAGAATTAAAAGTATACATCTGTATTTTTAATGAAACAAGAAAAGAATCGTATTTTGTATTTTCAGTTTCCCAGTACACCCACTTTCAAGTACTCACACTTCTATTTCTTACATGGCTGTATTGCGTCCTGTTTTGCTACACAACAGAATGTTTCGGTTCTGGCAAGTATTAGAGGGCATAGCAAAAGGCCCCGCAAAATAGTGTTGGCCCTGACTGTCCTCAGGATAAGAATCCTTTTCCACTGCCTTACTGTAAATGAGATTCACCCTCTCTGATTTTACAGCTCTGATGCTTTTTCCAAATAGGTCTTGGGCCACCCAGAGAGAGGCACATCTGCCAAATTTGGGCATTACCTTTTCTTTCAATTCCAGCCCCAGAATTAAAGGTTATGTCTCGTCTACAAGAGGGAAAAAAATCCCTACTTCACTCAAGTGTCTCCCAGACATTTAGTTAAAAAATTAGCCAATCTATCTATAACATCAAATAACAAACATAGTCAAATCTCTGAAGTTTTTTTTTTTTTTAAAGTCCCCGTACCAGTGAAAATGGGATACCTCTGAAACTGTCAAGACAATGCTAATTATTAGCAAGTCTGCTAGGTGCTTAGCTTTGCTGCCCTGGAGTTTTCAGAGCAGCATTTGGACAGGAAGTTGAAACAGGCAGGTAGGCTCTTGTACATGCCCTGGAGAGTCATAGCAAACTGCTCATTTTGTACTGCTGGCTTATAGCGATCATGTAAATTTAACACAAATCTTTCCTTCTCTCTCTCAAAAAAGAATCCAACCCACCAGAGCCAGTAACTTTCCATATTCACTTTAGCTAAAAATGATTCTAAAATCAATGAAATATTCATCACTTTCAGCAAAAGAGCAATCTGTGAAAAAACAAAGCAAAACAAAGCTCATGAAGGTAACATCCTTCTACAAAAAAAAAAAATCTCACAAGTAAAGCAGAACTTTTTTTTTTTTTTTTAATTAACAAGAGAGACAAGCAGTAAATCCCTTCCTGGCCTAATGAAAGTGTCATAGACCTTCACTTAACTCACCTACCAGAGTCTTCTCTACAGTTAGTGTAATTTGATTTTTAGTCCTAAGACTGAAAATCTATGCAGTTAAACAGATGACAGTCTTTACTGACCACTGTATCTTGTTTGTCTGAAAAAACAGCAATATCTTCACAAAAGTGCCCCCTTTCCACTCAATCCTGCTAGGTCCCAAAGATATTTCCCAAGGTTTAAATGCTGAGTTCCCTCTCAAGCCAGGGAGAAGCCATAACTCACTATGACTAGTTCAGCTCCAGAGGTAAATGCTACATGATGATGCGCTACCAGGCAGGAGTTGAACTCCAGTGCTGTAGCTCTTCATGGATGTTCTCCAACATAATGGGCTATTGCAACAGCCCAATACAGCATAGGCCAGGACTTGAGAAAGGTGCACAAGCACACTCTTAAAACTAAACTCATACGACTTCCTGAATCAAGATCGACACATGAAGTAGTAACCTCCACCAATTACAATGACATTCATTGTTTTTTATGCAATTAAACACAACAGCAAAAATTCCAGTTGTGAATCTGGTCTCATCAGAAAGCGTTCAGTTACTACAGCAGACAATAAAAATAACCAGTTTGTCCTGTATAAAGGATACTTGTCCAAAGCAGTTATACATAAACCTTTTTTTGCTATTTGCAGTGTATTTAGTTTACAGTATTTGTTTCATTATTTCAAACATAAGTCTCAAGTTGTGATACTTCATGCCATGTAAACACCAATGGGGCTTGCTCTGACAGTGTCATGTGGGAAGATTTCCCAGTTAGCCTCTGTTATGCCTCATATACAAAACACAGAGGTCATTTTTGGTAGGTTATTTTCACATCCACATACTTAAAAATGAAGAAATCTCTAATGCCGCAAGTACAGGAGAAAAAATTGTTCAGGTGCTCCTTTAAAGAAAAGGCATTTCTGGAACTGGGAAGCTCCACCAAAGTAAGCAAATGGTATTTCTTACCTGCACAGGTATCTTGGGGGGTTTGGGAGGTCTTTAACCATGTAACACTCTCCCCCATTTACACAGAAGGCTTTCTGCTTTATGTCACATTTCGTGAGATGACTTGTCCCAGTTGTAGATGTGGAAGTGGCTGGAAAAGACAAGAGTGAAAATACGGATCAGAATGGCTTAGTTTTCCTTCCTGGCTGGTAAGTATACTTGTATGTCAGGGAAGAATTAAGGCCAGGGAGGATGTGAAAAGTCCTCTGAGCTGCTACCACAAGACCCCATATTTTTGCTGATTGAGACAGTGTGGGAGGAATGGGGGATTTCACTAGCCCTGTCTATCAAGCAACCTTAAATTTCTGTAATAGTCGTGTATTTAATTAAATATGTGTAATTTATGTGCAGTTACTTATATTGCATTAATTACATGCGGGTGATTTTGGGGTGTGAGAGTCATTACAGACTGCTGATATAGTGCCCAATAAAATGAGGCCCTGGATAAGGTTTCATCCCAGATTGCCTTGATGTGGGTATTTTTCAGTGCAGCTTAACCTGATGCCCCATGCTGATTTGATCCCTTGGGACTGAACCCCTTGGTCCAGCCCCTGCTTTCTTCACAGGGGAGAGGGTGACCGGCTGAACGCTGAATGCCTCTTCCCCTGCTCCTAAATGAGGGCTGTGGCTGCTTTGGTTCGACTCCGAAGGGAGGGAGAGGACAGGGGATCTGGAGGCATCATCCCTTCCTGTGCATATGATTGCCAGCCTTGTGTCCACAGGACTGTGATCCAAAGGCTAACCTAACATCTCCTGCCAATGGGCTCATCTGCATGAAGTATTAACAGTTTTGGGCCACCAATGCTGCCAGACACCATTAGGCATCTAAATTGCTATTGAACGGAAGTACCACTGTGCCCGCAGTGTTTCTTAGCTTACTTCCTGCTGCATTTAGGGAATACCTGGAGAAAGCATGAGCAGGGTTTAGTTAGCAACCTTTAAGGAGGCTGCCAGGGTATGATGAGAAATCCCAGCCTTAGGATTTGCCCATGCAGTGTCTGTCAAGGAAATGATAGTGGCCTGACCAATGGGAGCAGTACTGTAGGAGAGACAATGCTCAAAAATCCCCCACTGCAGTCATTGCTGGTAACTCCTAATGTAAGGTGAACCTACCTGAGGTTGCCCTAAAGTAGCTAACAGCAACAGGGATGATAGGGAGCCCATATTATGTCCTCAGCTCCTCATACTGCTCTGTGCCTGCAAAACCACCTCTGTGAGCTGAGTTAAACCTAAGTCAGGCATGTACCTGCTAGGCTGAAGCTGCAGCCCCAAACTACAACCTCTGGTTGCTCCCTAGTTTGGATAATTTTTGCTCTAAATTCTGTCAAAACAGGGTAGGTATGCTTGAAACCCAGACAAAAGTCAGTACTCAGCTCAGGAACCATGCCACTATGTGGCTATGTGACCTCTGGTGAGTCATTCAGGTTATTCATTTCACTTGATTTTATCTGCTTAAAACTAAATCATTTAGTTGTAAGGTGTTCTCCACTGCTCACAGAAAGCAACTCAACTTATCCCCACAACTGGTGGGATAAACAACTCATTTGACTCTCTACATTGACAGCAGAGCAAGCTTAAGCTCTTGAGAACATCACCCTAATTTTTAAATGGCTAAAACTAACTGAAGTGACTGTGATCTATAAAAAGTCGGGAATATTCCTGCATGTCTTTTGTTTAGCCATCTCTAGACACAGACAAGTAAGAAATTTTGTCACAGTGCTGAACAGATCCCAATATATTAGTTTCTGAAAGATAGCTTCTACCCTGAGGTGAAACAGTGCTTTTATCTATCTGGTGGACTGATTCCACCAGAGCTGATTAGAAAGCTGCAAGCATCTACACAAAAGTTGTCTGATATTCAAAGCCTTTTAGAACATGAAGGCACCCAAGGTGGCATGTTTAAAATAGGCAATGACATTCTACCATTTGCTGCAAACACTGAATCCAAAGAAAACATGCTTTTGGCTATCAACAAATACCACTTACACATTTCAAGTTCTTCTTTCTGAGAATAAGGATGGAGCAGTCCCTGTCACATTTGATTTTCATGTGTTTCCCATTGTCTTCCAAGTAAAACTGCATTTTTAGCACTCAGCACTTGGGATCATGGGCCACCTTGGCTGGCACCATTTTCAGAGTGGCTTTAGCTATCTTATTTCAATGACACATGAGATAGTAGCTGAGATATTTAAGTCCCTGCTTTTACTCCATCAAAACCCCATCTGCCTGTACAGTTATCGTCTCTCATACCCCTTCCTTCCTTTGCCATTAATCACCAGCATGCCAGCTTCTTTCTCCTTCTTCCATGATGCTTTGCTTGCATGAGATGCCTTCCTCTGACGAGCCAGGAAAAGCCCTCCTGTGACCTATTCCAAAACGCAAGCTCCCTCCTGCTTCTCACTGTCGCACCCACCCATTGTGTCACATCTCCCCAGATCCTGATCTTGAGTGGAGCCTCTAAGTGCTAATGAAATGCAAACACGGAGTAACAACTCCTCATAATAACACATTCCTTTCTCCTGGCCCCTCAAAGCATGATTTATAACGTTTCAGACCAGGATAAATTTATGCCTTGTCTAGAGGCAGGAAAAGGGGTCATGTTTTAAGAGTAGTCTTTCAGCTAGCACCGGTTCAAACAGGACTTTGCACTCAATGTTGACAAAAGGCTGGCCAACAGATTGCCATCAGCTCAGCGGTGAAGGGTCATCTACGCTTGATGTCAGTGGGTTGACCACCATCCTTGACATGAATCTCAGGATGGGGGGATTTGCCTTGTGGAAGGGCCTTTCCTTCTTCACTAGCTTGAAAGGAACTTGGATTATTAGCCAAAAGGAGATATCTGACATGACAGGCTACGGCATACCATGACCTAAGATGTGACAAATGTGGTTGAGTGAATCCCATCTATATAGTAATGCACATTTTGAAGCCTCTGTGAGGCCTAACAGGTAAACTCACTGTTAAGCTTATCCCCGCTGAGAGCCTATCCACATTTATGTCCTTTTACCTTACCAAAAGATTTCAACCTGCAAGTGAGACAAGCACTCTGAATATGTCCTCAAGATCAGAAAGCTAATGCATTAATTTGGAAGGAAATAGGAGCACTATTGTCTGCAGCATTTCTGACAAAAAAGCATTTTGCTACCCTGCTGGCTAATGGAATGTTTTAAATTGAATTATGAAGGTAGATATAGTAGCAAGTGGGCTTATAGCTATCTATAATTGTTTTCATTGTCTTGCTTTCTGCTTTTTCCTTAAGCAGCAGCTCAATCAAAAGCAGATCACTGTGGAGTTTCAAAGTAATGGTTATTTCCCATCTGATGTAAGTGAGCATTGGATAGTGTCAATCACTCTGAACTGAATACTAGAGATGGGAATAATCTGCAGTTCTCAGAGAAATCTCACGATACAAGGGCTTTACACATATTTGTGAGGGGTGCATCTATGCATGTTTTTGGCATCAAAGCTCTTGTATAAATCTTGCGCGAGAATTTTCTCTGCATTACTGATCCACTACCACTGTAGTCCCAATGTGCCTAAGCTTTGTAACTCCATGGGGTGAGGGGAAGAAAAAAGTCTCCAGTGAGTTAATTCTGATACTGATTTTTTTTTTTTTTTGCAAAGGATGCATAGTTTTTATAGCATATGGCCAGTATTCAGTGTATGCACTGTAAGTCTATTTTGCAAATTAAATACAAGAAATACTAACTATGGTTTTGGGTTTCACTTAAAGCCACATAACAGAAGAAATGTGGTGTTTGAGAGCAGGTGTTCATCAGAGCCCATATCATACAGTCCATAACTAGCCCCAAAGCACTGCCTTTCCATCCATCTCGAGGAGACATGGACTTAGAGGATGTATAGTGGAAATGACGGGCAGTGGGGAGGTAAAGCACAGCTGTAGACCACATATCTGTGCCTTGTTCTTCATTCAGCTACTCAAAATTTGTACCTTCTTTCTCTTCGGTAATGTTTTCTTCAGCTACACAAGCACAAGCTGGTTTGCCTTTAGAGTCCTATATCAAAGCCCTAGCTTAGTGAATGGCCTAAATTACATGCTGTAATGAAATTTGAAAATATCATGCATGAGATAACATCTGAAAACACTGTATACTCTACCTTTTTCTTTTTGTTTTGTTTCCTTCCCTGAATGCAGAAACACCACATTTAAAAAGGCAACTGCAGGCAGTATGAACAAAGTCCTGACTAATGCAAATATTCACATGGCAGTGAAAAACAACGAGATCAGCTCCCATCTATGGGAATTGCCTAATGTCATTAAACAAAAGGAAAAATAGGCCCTGTTGCATCTTTTAAAAACTACTCTCTAAAACATGAATTACTGCTGTAGCACTACCTTAGGATCATTTCATGTCAAGCAGACACAACTTCATGTAATTCTGAGCTTACCTGGGGAATCTCTGAGCCTTTTTTGCCTAAAGTTCTGTGGCTACAGCAGCAGGACTCCCAGGCCCCACACAGATGAGGCAGTCTGTTGAGAGGAGCCCTAATGGTTCCCTGAGTACAGGGAAGGGCTTTGCAACCTAAACAGAACAGTATCTATGCCTCTTTGAATTGAGTTTCTGCAAAGCTATTGTAAAATCAGAGGATGCACTCTAAGTCATGCAAGGTGACTAGTGAGATGCTTATAACTCAATGGAGACAAAGTCAAGTGGCAGCTGCAGCACAAAGGAGGGTTTGCCATTCTCACTGGAAGGCCACTAATGGGATGTAAATATGCCCCCTTATTGGACTGCAGGTAGAGGCCTTTCCAGTCTCCTTTTGTGAACAAAAAGAGTAAATTACCAGAGAGGAACAGAAAAGACACTGCTGCTTATCGCTGTTTTCTGAGACTAAGGCTTGAACAAAGCCTACTTGCAGCTTATGCCAATGGAAGAGGAAGGGACCTGCATGGAGTGATGGAGGTACAGAGGGAGAGAGAGAGGGGGAGACAGAGTGCACACAAGTGAGCTTTGGGGGGACAAAGTGTATGCCACCAGAAGAAACTCAGCTTTACTAACTCATGTTCCCTCACTTGAAGCTCATTCATTTCTTTAAAAGCACAATCCAATTCTCTCTTGACTTTTCACT